TAAGTATCTCCGTTAGAAACAGTGAACATAGTGGCTGATGTTTTGATTAGTGATATTAAACATCTGTGTTTGTTTGGAGTTAAATCCCTATCCGTGATTCAATTTCTGCACCTTGTTCTTGGATTTGAACAAGAAATTTTTTAGTTAATAATAAAGGAAGGCAGTTCGATTAAAGAAGATAGCATATTGCTAGTGTACTGTGTTTGATTTCAAAATCTAGCAGAAGTAGTAACCAAGTTTCGTAGTTATCGCTTTCTCTTTTCATCGGGTTCTTAAGCCTATATTACCTTGCACATTTTAATATCTTTGTTAAACTTCTTTAGCATATTAGCTTAACCCTTACGTGATAAGATTTTCCCTCTAGGTAAGTTTGTAGCAGTACTATGAGTAAGAGAAAGCCACTTAGGAATTGAAGAAAAATCCTATAACATCAAGTTTTGTGCGAGCAAAGATTAGAATTTCGAGAACGAAATTCTTTTAAGGGGGAGAGAGTGTGAGACCCCGAAATTTTTCTTGTCTTTATAACTCTTATTCGAACTTACTTGCCTTAGATTCTTGGTTGTTTTAATGGTTGAATTTGAGCCAAGGGATTGAATTTTGTTAAGAAAAGTTTCATAATTTCAAGTTGTTAGAAAATCTGGAAATTTTCGCAGGAGGCTCTGTGCAGCTTTGGGAAATTTGCTATAACTTTGTATAGGAAAGTCGGAATTGAGTTCCGTTTGAAACTAGACTCATAGGCTTCCTACAGTATAAAATTCAAAATTTGATTCAATCTCTATAAATTCCAAAAAATTGGCAAAGTTGACTGAAAATTCTGCCCCTGCAGAAGTAAAAATAGGAATGTTATAGTAGCTTACGACTCAATTTGGACCAATTTATGAACTGAATCTTGTTGATCTTAGTCCCTAACTTTTGATGTTTACAAAACAATTGGATGATACTAATATCTCTTCAAGAAATACTTTCAGCTATGAAGCAAATCTGATTCAAAGAACAAGAGCATTTGAAAGAGATAAAGGAAGTTGAAAACTGTCGGACGCTTACGAAAATAACATCGGACGTCCGATAAACAATGCAACACTTCGGAAGCATGAACAACTCCATCACCGAACGTTCGAAAGAATTAAGATATTCCCTCTAGCTCACTGTCTATTTTCGAACGCAAAGCATTAGAGGTACCGTACATCCGAAAGAATTGAAGAAGATTTTTCAAATTCACCATCTGCTTTCGGACACAAGCATCAGAAATACCGGATGTCCGAAAGAATTGAAAAAGATTTTTCAAACTCATTGCCTGCTGTTGGACGCAAGTATCAGAAGTACCGGACATCCGATAATACCAACGGCTAGTTGACTCTTCAACTACCTTCTATCCGTTGGAAGCATTAATGGGTCATTTTTTGGTCTCATATAAATAGTGTATGGTCAAAAACTTCAAAAGGATTTTTGCACATTGAAAATACGAAAGATCAAGAGTAGTTTTAATGAGAAAACACTCTACAAGGAAGATTTGTACTCTTTGTTGTATAAAATTCGTGTAAGCTTTTCTTGTGTGAGAAAAATACTTCAATAGTATAGCTTTGTGAGGGTTATCCTGAATGATAGTAAAACTTCCTACCTTGACTGAGTGTAGTTTGGGGCAAGGAAGAAGTGATCCTTCCTTTGTACACAATGATTGGTTGTATTTCATCAACTTGAAGAACCTTGTTCTATAAAGTGATATTCAAAGCTCAAGAGGAGCTTGGAAGTCAAATTGGTTTGCTATTCTTTCCTTATTATTTACTATCTTGTGAAGCTAAATTGCTTATCTCTTCTACTCTCAATCAATCTTGTTCTCTTACAAATTGTTTCATTGAGTGATCATCTAGAAAAGAGGGTAAATTTCATATTGAACAAAAAAGTGTCTCATAACCTGATTAGATTTTAAATAACCTAATTCACCCCCTCTTAGGTTGTCTTCGATCCTAACAATTGGCATCAGAGTTTGGCCTCCTAGAGATTAAACTCAAGCGATTTTGGAGTAAAAATGATAACCAACAATGCCATATTTTTTGAAGAATAATCTGTCACTAGACCCCCAATATTTAATGGGTCCAATTATGTGAGTTGGAAGGAAAGAATGATTATCTTCTTGCAATCGATTGATATTGAATTGTGGTTTATTGTCAATGAAGGTCCATATGATGCCTCTATAATAGATGGTTTTACTCATAGACCAAGACCAAAAATAAAAAATGAATTGACTGGTGATGATAGAACCCACCTCACCTTAAATGCAAAGGCTATGAATGTGTTATATAGTGCTTTAGACTCAAATGAATCTATTAGGGTCAAAAGCTGCAAGTCAGCTAAGGAAATGTGGGATAAACTGAGAGAAATTCATAAAGGTAGTGAAAATGTTTGAGAACAAAAGAAATCTATCTTGGTTACTAAGTATGAGTCGTTTAAGATGGAACCTCATGAAAATATTAATAAAATATATTGTAGATTCAATGATCTTATTAAGAATCTAGAAGTGCTAGAAAAGGAATACTCCTTAGGAGAGAAAAACAGAAAAATCTTAAATGTTTTGTCCAAGGATTGGGAGAGTAAGGTGACTGCTATTGAAGAGGCTAAAGATTTGAATTCTCTGCATATTGAATCTCTTATTAATTCTCTAACCTCTTATGAGTTAAAACTTAAAACTAAGGTACAAGAACAAGAAGATGCAAAGGTAAGAAGGAACATTACTCTAAAAGCATCTTAAGATGAAGATGACTCGGCTTTCTTGGATGGAGAAGATGTGGAGGTTGACGACAATGATCTTGCTCTCATCACAAGAAGTTTCAAGAGAATTCTCAACAAAAAGAGATTTAGAAAAGGAGGACCTAGCAATTCATTTTCAAATCAATTTAATAATGCAAGAAACAAATGAAAGCAAGAGGCCAATAAAAATCAATCTGACAACTGCTATGAATGCGGTCAACTTGGAGTGCCACTATATGAGTGAGTGCTCAATAAAGAAGAAGAAAGAAGGAAAGCTGAACGAAAATCAAAATGCAACAACTTTCAAATCACATGGAATAAATGCAACTCAGATAGTGACGTTGAAGAGGAAGAGAAATCTGCTCAAATGGCTTTCATGGCCATTGATGATGATGAATTAACTACTTGCAACTCTCAACTTGTTAGTGATGATGAATCTGCTAATGATATTGAATCCTTCATTGAAAGACTGCATGATAGCTTGAAAGAATCTTATGCTAGAAACAAGGAGTTAAAATAGAAAATTAGTTTTCTACTTCAAGATAATGCAAATCTATTTTAACAAAACAAAAAATTGAAAACAAAAAATGATTACTTCAAAAAGGGCGAGACTAATCTACACATTGAATTTGATAGAAAAATAAAGCTTTGTGAAATGTTCAAAAAGGAACAAGGTGATTTAAAAAAAAAGGATGGACAATCTAAATGAGTTGCTCAAACACAAAAAACAAAACTGTTTTCAAGAAAATAGTTCAAAGCCTCATATCTTGACATTCATGAGAAAAGTTAAATTCTAGTGCAAATAAATTTACTATTTATAAGAGAAGGCAAGTAAGATTTGTTAAACCTGTCCATACAAGTAACTCGTTGACTATGTGTAGTTTTTGTTGTCAAATAGGTCACATGAAAAGTAATTGTTATATGAGAAAGAACATGAGAAAATGCATGAAATGCATGTGGATAGTTAGACATGATGCTAACTCTCGAAGACCCAAAAATTAAAGGGTACCAAATGTTATCTTGTGAACTTTTGTGTAGGTGAATTTGGTGAATATCATTAAGGAATCAAAATGGTTCATAAATAGTTGATATTCAAGACACATGATCGGTAATACATCACAATTCATCAAGTTCAAACCAAAATCAAGTGAAAAAGTGACATTTGGAGATGACAACAAAGCCAAAACAATTGGAGTACGAGATGTTTGTAAGAATGGTCAGACTTTTGTTCATAATGTTCTTTTAGTTGATAATTTGAGTTATAACTTGCTAAGTGTTAGTCCATTATGTGATAGAAATTTATTTGTTTTGTTCAAAAAGCATGAGTGTCTTGTTCTTGACTCAAAGTTTAATATCATTTTCAAAGGAAAAAGAATCAATGACATCTATGTAGTTATTCTTGAAAATGTTGATTCCTCTAACTTTAAATGCCTTAAAGTTTCAAATGAAGATCCTTGGTTGTCGTAGAAGACTTTTCATTTCAACATGGATTTGTTAAAAGAAATTTTGAAAAAGGATCTTTTTTAGAGGTTTGCCAAAAATTAAGTTTGAAAAAGATAAAATTTGTGATGCTTGTCAATTTGAAAAACAAGTCAAAGTTTCTTGAACTCAAAAAATATGTTTCTACCTCAAGACCTTTGGAGCTTTTACATCTTGATTTGTTTGGTCCTACACAAATTGCTAGTTTGGGTGGTAAGAGATATTGCTTAGTCATTGTTGATGATTATTCTAGATACACTTGGGTGATGTTTCTTAATCACAAGGATGATACTTTCAAAAATTTTGTTTCCCTATTCGCAAAAGTTCAAAATCTAATGGGGTTGAAAATTGTTACAATTAGGAGTGACAATGGTTCGGAATTTAAATTTCTTGATTTTTCAGAATTTTGTAATCACAACGGAATTACACATGAATTTTCAATTGCAAGAACTCCTCAACAAAATGGTGTTGTTGAAAGAAAGAATAGAACTCTTCAAGAAGCCGCAAAAACCATGTTAAGCGAATGCAATTTGACAAAATATTTTTCTAGCCCGAATGCCCGAGATCAAGGCGGATGATACTAACATTCCCCTTATATTTAACATTAAGGTCGTCTCCCCAGGAATGTGGAACTCTACCACCTTCTTCTTACAATCTAATTGAGCATTATACCTGGCTAACCAGTCCATGCCCAAGATCACGTCGTACCCCTTAATGGACAGGCTTATCAAATCTCCTAGAAATTTTCTCTCTCCTACCCAAACCTCGCAGTCCTTCTAAACCATGCTAGTGATCAAACGATGGTCCCCAGTAGGGGTACTAACTTCTAGGTCATAAGGTAAACTAGCATGTTTGATATTAGTACCACACATGAAATTAGGGTTAACAAAGGAATGGGTGGCACTGGAATCTACTAAGACCTTCGCAAATCGGTGAAATATAGGGATCGTACCTTCTACGACCTCGGAAGAGTCTGGGACCTGTTGGGGCTCTAGCGAGTACACTCGAGCCGACACCTTGAGTTTCGTCCCGTCCACCTTAACTGGTCCAGAACTGGTCCTTGGCGGTTGTTGACTTCCCTTTCCATCTTGCTTTAGAACTGGGCAGGTGGCGAGCTGGTGGTCTGCACATCCGCAACGCAGGCACTTTCCCTCCTTCTTCCAGCAGTTATCCTCTGTGTGATTTGGCTTTCCGCAATACCTGCAGGGTCCACGGGATGCAGAACCCGAACCTCTCTGGAAACCTCCTCTTTGGCCTCTCCCAGCTGGGCCACCACTTACCTGAGCCCCTCTACTTATGCTCGGCTGCCTTCCACCTCCGGCTCCCCCTCCAAACTTGGGAGGGGTACTCTTATCCCCCTGCCCCGAGCTACTACCAGGGAACCCTCACTTTTTAGTTTGGAAGTTCCTCACCTGTAACCTAGCATTCTCTACTCGTTGCGCCTTCTCTACAGCATCACTGAAGGCGTTAATTTGTCCTTCGGCTAGATCCTTCTGGACCTCCACGTTCAGACCCTGGACGAATCGCCGTATTCTTCGTTGCTCGGTCACGATGAGCTCGGTTGCAAATTTGGACAGCCGAGTGAATTGGCTCTGGTACTCGGCCACTGTCTGAGTCCCTTGACGAAACCGGATAAATTCATGCTCCTTTCGTTCCTGAACTAGAGGAGGGAAGAATTTAGCGTTGAACTCCCGCATAAAGTTCACTCAGGTCCTGGGCGTTTGCTCTCGGTCCCACTTTTGTCGTATTAAGTTCCACCAGGAACAGGCCGCCCCTTCCAGTTGGAAGACAGCAAAAGTCACCTGCCATTCCTCCGTGTAGTGCAGGGCAGCAAAGATATCCACCATTTTCTCTAGCCACCTTTCGGCTACATCTGGATCGGGTCCCCCAATAAACTTTGGTGGGGCAAACTTCTGGAACCTCTCGAGGGCCCGGTCCTCGCTCTCCACGTGATTACCGGGGTTCCCAGGGTTGGGGTTAGGGTTTTGACCCTGTTGGTGCACTACTTGGGCTAGCAAGTCAGTCATTTGCTACATGGCAGTAGCTATTTGGACAGTGGGATCAACTCTAGGTTCAGGGTTTGGTCCAGATGAGATTTTTCCAGTGCCCCTTTCAGACGTGGGTTGCCTACTCCCGCGTCCACGGCCTCAACCACTACGAGCGCCCTCCACCGATCTAAGTCGATCTAAGGTCAAATGATAAGTATAATGTTAAAGGCACATAACCCCTTTTTCATAACAATAAACATAAACAGTTAACCAAAACAACTACGTCATAGGGTATTTAAACACATACCACATATACGTAGAACACATAACAGGATCAAGCAGTTATACAAAAACAGGCAGTCAAGTACATACAAAAGTCATCCCAGGAAACAAAAAAGGGTCCTCCAAAAGACAATAGACAGAGTTAGGCCAAAACAGCTAACTAAGAGCCTTTCCTAACTATTCCCTTCATGGGATCAAAAGTAGTTCAAAATAGTTCTAGCCTAGTTCCCTACGGAGGCCACAGACTCTCCCCCTTGACTAGAACTAGGGGTACTCCCTTCACTAGGTGTGTCATCACTCGGGGCCTCCACTTGCGCGTTGGCACCAATCACACCTTGGATTAGCGCCTCGCACTCATTAATAATGCCGCCGGAACGGTCTCTAACTTCTCGGACGACATTAGTAAGACAAGTGTTCACCACCTGCAACTGCTCCCTCAGAGCATTCGTTCGCTCTTGCTCCATAACTATGTCTCCCTGAAGCTCTCCAATCCGGTCAGCCTGCATCCTCATAACGCCCCTCAACCTAAATGCCTCAGTGTGATCCCTGGCGGCGGCACTCCTAAGTCTCCTCCTCTCGTCTAGCACCGCCATGACCATATGATCAGCATAAGAGTAATGCTGGCAACGCCTACAGCGTCGGGTCCGGCTCGCAGTATACCAAAGTCGGATCGGACCTCCTGGCCTCTCCTAGTAATCAATGACTCATGGCCGCCTCTGAGGTGGCTCACCTCCGCCCTCTCCGCTTGCTCCAGCCATGGCCTACAAGAATAGCATAAAGGGTTCATATCTTTGACAACGTAAGCATAATCACACTTAACGGTACTTTAACACTTCCCTCACAGGCCTTAAGGAACAAAATTCAAACTTGCCTTGGTAATTTCTAACCTAGGCTCTGATACCACCTGAGACAGCCCCACCTTCCCCTAAGGCGTACCAAAGGGGTTAGCGGACTGCCTGTCCAACTCTCGCCAGACTACTCTGACACTTATAAATCAAAATTAGCAAAAGGAAAACGGAAAACGGAGCCGCACAGGAACAGTGCCCGAAACCCAATCAATCACCATCAAATCATATAAACCTTGGAATTTGACATTTACAAACCAAAATAACACATGAACATTGCCAACCACGTTTATACATACATAGTTTCAAATTTACAACCCAAAAGGAAAGATTAAGTCAAAATACACTTAAGGTTTTTGAACCATCGAGGAGCTAGACAAAAGAATATTAAACTAGCTCAACTCGGCTTCAAAATCACAGTTCCCCAAAAGGTATTCATATCCCTGTAAGGAAAACAAAGGCAATGGAGTGAGCTTTTGCCCAATGAGGTACCATCACTCAAGTAACAAAGTTCATATAAGCACAAAAGTACTCAATCCAAATACATTCAATAAATGAGTCAACGAGCACCCCATTTCAATAAAGATATGTAAAAGGATACGGTCGGCTCTCAAGAGCCCTTTTTCTCGCTTGCCGTACTTGATCTTGCCCCATTTACCCTCCGTCAACGCTTAAGGAGGAACCAATACCGTAGACTCCACTTTCCCCAATTTTCTTCCACCTCACATACGCTTACCGGGCCCGAACTCCAACCAGTTCAAAATGGTAATACTCGAGTATACTGGAATCAAGAGTCTCATACCCAATGATTCCATAGAAACAGTCCCCATGGCTTGTCAATCTCCCCGACCAAGCCCTTGCTGGCTCGAGTCAATCGACCGCCGATGGGGTTGAGCTCAGAGTCAACAGTAAAAGTCGTTGGATACACGTCCAAACGACACCAGTTTAAGTATATCCAAGAGACATTCAATCGATACAGTAAACAGTCACATAAGCCATAGAGTGCGAGAGTGATAAAGTACACCCTCGACTCAATCAATCTCAACAGTACACCCAAACATTCAAATCATAGATTTCAAGTATAATAAAGCCATAAAGTAACAATCATGTGAGTAGTACACTCACCAATCAAGCAAAGGAAGATTTCACAAATTTCAGTCCAACGAGCGCCTTGGGTCACCCGCACGCCCTAAATCATTCAAGGAAATACAATGAGACTCGAATACGAGTCATAAATCCAAGCCACATATCACTAATGTAAAGCCAATAGAACTTGAAAGTGATATAAGAAACACTTGAGGCTAATGGTTTAGACAACCCCAAAGTCACTAATTAACACCCTAAGCAACCCAATTCCAAGAAAGCCTAGGGACCTAAAATTTGGGCAGCATTTCCCCTTAAAATTTTAGATTTCCAACCTACAATCAATCACTTATATTACTCCAACACAACCACAATTATAATTGCAAGTCATAGGCCATTCAATACCCCTTATTAGGGTTACAATACCCTTCAACCAAAGCCAATTCAAGAGTTCTATAACAACCCAATAAAAGCCCCAATCACAACCCTAAATCTGAAATTTTCTGTACAAAGCGGAAATTTTCCGCAAATAACCACAACTTACGCATCAAAGTTTCATTCTAGACCATTCCAAGCCATCATCCATGGCCAACCAATACTAAACATATAAAAATAGAAAAATCATGAATAATTATGAAAATTCACCAATCTCTACCAAAAGTCACAAAATCTTTCACAAAACCAACTCTATGACTAACACAAGTCATTAATTTCACATTATCAAAACCAAAGAAGGAATTCCTTAACTACTCACCTTGCAACCTCAAGAAAAGAACCAACTTAGCACCACTTTCTTCCAAACCACTTCACCAACAACCTCACTACAACTAAACTAAGGGTTTTTATGGAGAAATCTCAAGTTTAATCGGTTGGATTGCAAGTTTGAGCAAGATTGAGAGCAAAAGAGTTGAAGGTTTCTTTTCTTTTCTTTCTAGAGAGAGCCGACCAAAGAAGCTTGAAATGAAGATGATTTTTGGGTCAATTTTGATTAATTGGTAAAGTTAATGAATAGTAGTCAAAGTCCAAGATTAAATCACAAAGTGACACTTGTCACCTTTTTGGTTTATAGCTATCCCATTGTCTCTCTACTACTAATCCATCTAGGTAACTTCTAATTATCTCTTAACACCTAGAAAATTAATCCCAGTATACCAAACTTAACCTAATTGGCCGAATTTTACCGCACTTTCCGCACTTGCGGGTCCCACATCCGGTATACTCTCTTAATTTCTCGAAAACTAACTGATACTAGAAAAATAATTTAAAAACCACATTTACTCATAAAAATTATCTAGAAAATTTTTCTAACAAAGAAAATATAGAATTAGTGTGCAATTAAATAAAATAAAACCTAGAAAATAATAAAAATTTCGAGTTCTCACACCATACATGTTACATTTGATGAATCTAATGATGATATTTTCAAGAGTTGTTGTGAGGATGACGATATACGTGTTCAAGAAGAATTCAAGAAGCCCACGATTAATCAAGACAATGTTCCATTAGAAGAAAATTCAAAGGAAGATGATTTTCAAGGAGAATCAAGTATTAGAAGAAAATGACAAGAATGTTCGTACGCTTAGGGATTTTCCAAAAGCTTGGAAGTTTGTTCAAAATCATCTCAAGGAGCTTATTATTGGTGATCCATCCGAAAAGGTAAGGACTCGTTCCTCATCTAAACAATTGATGGATAATTTTGCCTTAGTCTCGCATTTTGAGCCTAAAAATGTTGTTGATACTTTGAAAGATGAAGGGGGAGAAAGTGTGAGGCCCCGACATTTTACTTGTCTTTATAGCTCTTATTTGAACTTACTTGCCTTGAATTCTTGGTTGTTTTATTAGTTGAATCATGATTTTAACCTGTGACGCCCCCACTTCTCCCTAAGGTGAACCAAAGGGTATCGGCGGGACGCCTGCCCAACTCTTGCTAGGACTCGGTACAATTCTCGTTCAAGCTTAATACAATGATAACTAAAACGTCAAGACAAAGTAAAAAAAAAATGCAGATGTTTCCATATATAAATATTCAATCTTACATCAAAACTTCAAAATACATTAATTTCCCAAAATATACCACTACTAGAAGATGTCTACTCGATTACATTTGAAACCCTAACACAAAAGTACATCCCAAGGGTTTCTTTGAGTTTCACTCCAAGTCCATTCCTGTTAAGGAAAACAAATCTACGAGGTGAGCAATTGCGCGTGCGGCCAAGAACACACATGCAAGCACGTTGTCCAAGTAACAATCCTATCCAACAAGTAAAACAATAATATTCGAGTAATTAACAATTCAAGTGAAATTTAAACAGAAACAATTCAAGGATATGGTAGCTCTTAGGAGCTAATTTTCACTTGCTTTGTCAACCTCGATTGAATACCTTCCCATGATGACACTCCATCACCTGGATCGGTATTTTTAAGTCCGTAGAACTCCACTTTACGTCACAGGTCCTTCCACCTTACAACCTCCCACCGGGCCCGAACTGCGTTAAAGGT